TACAGCAGCAGCAGCAACAGCAGCAGCAACAGCAGCAGCAACAGCAGCAGCAACAGCAGCAGCAGCAACAACAACAGCAGCATTTATACTTTAATACATTATATATGTTTCTTACGAGCTGTAATTTCCTCTACACGGGGTGTAACTGCAGCAGCAGCAGCAGCAGCAGCAGGAGCAGCACCTCCCTCTTTATGTTCATGAGGGGCAATTGTCTGTATGCGGGTAGCCTGCTGCTGTGCTTCTCCTCCTGCTGCAGTGCTTGGTTGCTGCTGCTGCTCTGCTGCTGTTGCTGCTGCAGAAGCCTGCTGGGACTCAGCAGCAGACTGTGATTCCTCTGCTGCTGTTTCTGCTGCTGTTGCTGCTGTTCCTGCTCCTTCTTTCTCCGGCTGAGTTTGTGCAACTTGCTGCTGCTGCTGCTGTTGTTGTTGTTGTTGTCCTTCTGCTTCTTTTTTGCTGCTTCCTTCTTCTGCTGCTTCCTTCTCTGAAGTACCAGCAGCAGCAGCAGCAGATCCTTCCTCCTCACCTGCAGGAGCAGCAGTCTCGCTGCTGCTTGCACCAGCAGATTCAGAGGAGGAACTTCCTTCATTTGCTGCACCACCCTGCTGCTGCTGCTGTTGCTGCTGCTGCTGCGGTTTCTGTTCCTGTTGCGTCGAAGCAGAAGAGCCCTGGGAGGATCCCTCTGCTTGTGAGCCCTCTTCTTCTCCCTCTCCTTCCTTACTTGATGCCTTCTCTGATTCTTCTGTGTTGCTTCCTCCTTCTACAGCTGTTCCTGCATCTGTGCTGTTGCGGAGTTCAAGGAAGGAACCGGTGGTCTGCTGCTGCTGCTGCAGCAGCGGCCGACCTTCGCTTGCAGTGCACCAGTGGACTAAGACAGCAAAAGCTGCTGAAAAGAAGAAAAAGTAATTGAATTTCATTTTCTTATTTATATTTTTAATCTTTATTATTAATTTATATTCTTTATTAGACAGATCCACAGGCTACACACCGCCGACTCGCCAGCCCCCCCTAGGTGAATCACCAAGGAACTGAACGGCAGGGCGAGGGGAAAATTCAAAGGTTAAAAAGGAAACTTCTTGATTAAAAACAATAAAAAGAAGTTCTTACAACATTTCCCCCCTGAATTTCCTTTTTATTGAATTTTCTCCCCCTTTTACACAATACAAAAAGTCACCAACAAGCCAAACTTGAATGAGCAGCCGACGCGACCTTCTGCGGTGTCTGTACAGCTTCGATTTCCTTAAGACTCCCTACTTGCCAACATTTATATAAGAAACTTATTTTAATTTCTTTTATTCTTTGTATAAAATAAATAATTTATTAAATATTAACTTTAAATGAGGATGTGTTCAATTTCCTTTCCTCTCCCTCCTGTAAGAACCCGCCGTTTCTTATACCCTGTTGCGGAAGAAGACCGCGAAATCTGCGGTGTATGCTCAGCTATTTTGCCGCTTAACTCGTTTAATTAATTCTTTAAATTATGTGTATTATTATACAAAATAATATTAAAGAGGAAGAAATATCCTTAAAGGAATTAATTGTTGTTTCCTCCCTCCTTACGCCGGTCTACTGAACGCCCTCCTTATGAATTTATTTCTTATTGCAACTTTACAATAAGAAAGAAATAATTATAATTGTCTTTTTCTACTTTTATAAATATAAATAAAGGAGGTAAGCTTTTTTATTGGCCTAATTATATTAGTATTGTAGAAAAATGCCCAATTTCTGTATATATATACCACCATACATGAATTGTGGTGAAGACGATGGAGTGTATAGGCACCTAATCTAAGATATTATAATTACCTCTCTATCAAGCAGCAGCAGCAGCAGCAGCAGCAAAAGTAAAAAGCTAGGGTGGCTGGTGTTTATACAACAAAGAATAAATAAATTCTCCTTGTGCCTTTATTTAATAATAAAAAAGAAGATAAAATCTTCTTTTTATTCTTTTGCGTATGAGGTGTACATACACCTGAATGAGGGGAAAGAGATGCATGCAAACTATTAGCTCAAAAAAATTTAATAAATAAATAAATAAATAAATAAATAAATAAATAAATAAATAAATAATTATAATTATAATTATATTCTTACTTATAACATACAGCTATATTATAGATTTCTCTCTTTTTTTTTCTCCTTTTTTTCTTTTCTTTGCCTAAATATTAATTATAATATAAATAAAAAGAAATAAATAAATAAAAAAGAAGTAATAATAAGACGCATAAACATTTCTTAACGGCGGAGGAAAAAAGAAAATATTCTTTTTATTTGTTTATTTATTTATTTATTTATTTACTTACTTATTTATCTTTATTTTAATCGTATTCATTCACGAATTCCTTTTTTTTTTTTTTTTTTTTTTTTTTTTTTT